TTGTCCAGTGCAGCATACAAATGAGGAAAAACATGAGTGATTTATCAGCTGAATTTCAAGAGTAAACCAGAAAATTCTGGAAGCCCATACCTGCCATTTCTGATAACTTTATACTTTATTTCTCAATTGACTAATTTATTCTTTACTCTGAAGTGGAAACAGGCTTGCAATTGTGGAAAAATACGCACTTTCAGTATTCAGTTAATGCTCTATTAAAACATATAGATTTAGTTTAGAATGGTTTAAGATTAATATTATACTGTACAGAAACCTTACTTAAAGACAAAAGATTGTACAAAAAGACTCTTGAAGGACTAAAATCGAGGTCATGTTTCCAAACGAATTTATTTTACAGATTATTCTAATTTGCTGCATAAATCCAAATCTTTCAAGCTTCTTCATACACTCTAAAAAGTGCTGGGTTGTTTCAACCCAACTTTGGGTCAAATATGGACTAACCCAACTTTTGGGTTAAAAATGTAATTAAACTCTTATGCTCACCAAGGCTGCATTTATTAAATCAAAAATACAGTAAAAACAAAAATATTGTGAGAAATATTATTACAATTATTACAATTTAAAATAACTATTTACTATTTGAATACATTTTAAAATGTAGTTTATTCCTGTGATCAAAGCTGAATGTTCATCATCGTTATTCCAGTCTTCAGTGTCTCATGATTCTTCAGAAATCATTATCATATGCTGATTTACTGCTCAATAATCTTTTTTCTTATTATTATCAATGTTGAATACAGTTGCTGTTTGAATGGTAGTGTATGTTGTCATACCTGTACAACCATACTGCACTGTACATTTATTTATTTTTTTACTATTCTATGGCTATTCTATTTTTGCAGTATGCATACAAATATGAATGCAAATTTTCTCGTGCGTGAATTACACTGAATAATGAATTAGCCAAATATTTGAATTTGCCCAAATATGCATACCATGTACCACAATGCAATGCATCTGCCCAGTGTGAAAAGGGATCCAGAAGCAATTTTTAATCTTTTGATTAATTATTTATTGAAACAAAATTACAGTACAAATACAAAAGAGCTAGACTACTCAGTAGACGTATTAAACAACCAGAGGGTCATGTGACAACAGTATATGCCATACTGTGAAATATTTATATTACACATACTGCTTTTTAAAAAGATTGTTTGCTGTATGAACTTTATAAAGTGTGATATGCAGTAAACGGTATGCTAACATTATTTCCGAACATAGCCAGAGATATCATCCATTTGGTTCAAACCAAAGCTGTTTGTCATTCCAAAACCTCAATGACGAACTAACGATCTAAATTTAATATAGGCGTAATTTAACATAAGCTGCTGTCTGGGATTTCTAAAAGCCCTCTCCACATCTGTGTATGTGATGAGTGATGTGGAGACGCCATGAAAAGAATACCTTCCCGGAACACCTGTAGGCTGAGTTCTAATCTAACAGATGGCTCTTCTGATCAGCACTGCTGCTGAATACACTACAGGTTTAACGCTTCTGTAGGTTAAAGCAACTGCTGGATGTTTCCCAAAGATGTTTTGGCATTTGTGATGCGTGCTTTTACTACACTCTAAAAAATGCTGGGGGGTTTCAACCCAACTTAGGGTCAAATATGGACTAACCCAACTTTTGGGTTAAAAATGTAATTAAAAAATTTAATTCGGAATTTTTCGGAATCTGAAAGCTGAATAAATAAGCTTTCTATTGATGTATGGGTTGTTAGTATAGGACAAAATTTGTCCAAGATACAACTATTTGAAAATCTGGAATCTGAGGGTGCAAATAAATCAAAATACTGAGAAAATCGCCTTTAAAGCTGTCCAAATGAAGTTCTTAGCAATGCATATAACTAATAAAAAAAATAAGTTTTGATCTTCATGGAACATGATCTTTACGTAAAATCCTAATGATTTTTGGCATAAAAGAAAAATCGATAATTTTGACCCCTTTTTAACCCAGCGCTGGGTTATATTTAACCCAGCATTTTGTGTGTACATTGTATTTTTGGCTATTGCTACAAATATACCCCAGCGACTTAAGACTGCTTTTGTGCTCCAGGGTCACATATATACTTTTAACAGCCCAAGTCAAGAAGTAGGGTGGTTTGGGGTTGATATTAGTGGTTCGTTCTTCATTAATCTGGAACTAGAAAGTCAAGTTGAGCACTTTGCATTGTGGGATACGGGATCATGGTGCTGTTTACTGCATCTTTTGGCATAGAACTGCATATTGCACACAGAATATATAGTATGTGTTCTAATCTGAACATAGCCATGCTGTAGAAATGACTGCTCCATAGGCCCGACAAGACCGAAGCAAACGATCAGCGCACATGCAGAGTGTGACATTGCTCATGTTCTCATCCTGCAGGCGGATCTGGAAGTCTCCATGTCATTGTTTAAATGATTCCCCTTCACTAAACTGGGAACGAACCCAAGCGAGAACTACACGTGAAAGCACCTCAGGAGGGGAGCACGTTCAGCGGGGAGCTTTTCAATAATGGATGTACCACATTGAGCTCCCGTTAATAATGTGTTTCTGTCACCGCGGGAGACAGAAAAACGCATTTTAGAGGCGGACGAGAGAATAATGGGATGCGAAGTTAGGAAAACTTAGTCATAACTCAGTCTGGCTCCTTTTCAGACATTTTCAGTGTCTTGTGGCTTTGTTTAACAGGTAAAAAAAAAACAAACATACAAGCGTTGTGATTTTTATAGCACAGTGGCTTGTTAACCCCTGAAGCTCGTCGTCGAAGCTGTTATTATCATAAAAGTGTTTTTGATTACAGGGTTTTCATCAAACAAATTATGGATTGAAGCAATGAGACATATGCCAACGTTTTTTCCACGTTATAGACAAGATTGAAAGGTTCAAACAATTCGAGGTCAGAAATGAAAATGATGTGGAGGTTATTTAATTTGTCCTTAGTTTGTTAAAACAGAAATTGTGTTCACAAAAATGCACTTACTGTACATTGGAAATCTACACTGAAAAAAATTGGTGTAGAAATTTTTAAGGAATTGCTGGTAAATTTCACAAACAGTTGCATAGAAATACAACACATTGAATTTGAAGTAGAAAAACAGAAATATTACTTCCTTGTAAAAACATACTGCATGTTTTTTTTTACTGTAATGTTTTATTTGCAACTTCGAAAAATATATATTTTTACAGTGTAATGATGGCAGGGTTTAAAAGCAGATAAAGCTTATATTTTTATGAAATAACTTGCATACATTTTTGTATAAAAAATGTTATTTGAGCTCTGAAGTTAAAATCATCTTTTTAGTGCTGACTCTGAGAATGCTTTTCTAAGTGGATAAAGTGAATTATCCTGGTGCATATTGTGCAAACATTATTTGGTTTATAACTTTACATGAACAATTTTTTTACTTTGCACAGACAGTGTAAGTTATTGATTTTATCAACCTAGGCACATATACAGTAATGTTGAAATCTTGTGGCTATATCTTTTAAAAAGTTATATGTTTTTTTTAGACGATATTTTGAAGAAATTTAGGTTTCAGTTCCCATTGACTTCCATTGTGTTTTTTGTACATACAATGGTCAATAAAAACCAAAGCTATTTGGTGACCACAGACTCAAAATATTGTTGTCTTCCATAGAAGAAAGAAAGTTATACAGTTTTGGGATGACTTGTAATTAAAATTTTTGGTTGGACTGTCCCATTTCATCTAGCTTTTAAAACTCTTCCTCACAAACATTGCTGCCTCTTTGCCACTTCTATTTATGAGAGCAGATTTAGTTCCCATGGCTGTGTATGTCCACATTAATAAGTGATTTGACATTTGTGTCATGCTCTCGTGTCCGTCTCTTGTGTCTTCACCCATTGGGGACTGAGCAGGGCTCGTCGTCCAATCAGAAGCTGAGCCCTTCTACTGATGCTTTGAAAACGGATGCAATGCCAGAGGCGCTAAATACAGTTAATGGTCAATGAATTCAAATGTCATCATTATCTGAGCAGTCCTGAGAATAAATCCATGTCTCCTTAGTGCTTCCATTTAGCATTCAAGCATTATTTAAATACAGTGTTAACATTTAACAATCCTGTCTTTTTCAATATCCAATATTGCAATATCAATTTCAATTTCAAAACAACTAAACTGTTACATATTTTTCTATACATTATTTTTTTCATACATTATAATGTTTTGATACCTGATATTACATCATGCAGAAAGAAACACCTTTTCATTTTTTTAATATAGATTAATATGAATGTATATAATATGTAATCTATTCTACAATAATTATCAGCAGCAGTTGTATACATATAATGTATCTGTATGTGTGTGTAGTTGTATATGTATGCCAATATTGGATTAAGGCCCGGTTTCACAGACGGGGCTTAGACTAAGCCAGGATTAAATCATAGTTCAATTAAGACATTTAAGCAATTTTTATAAACGTGCTTAGAAAAAGAAAAAAAAAACATTTCTGGTGTGCATCTTCAGACAAAACAAAGGCACTGATATATTTCAAAGTTTCTTTCAGTTGAAAGAGCTCAGACTTACATTTTAGTCTAGGACTAGGCTTAAGTCTATAAATATTATAGACTTTAGATATAGATTCATACATTATAAATCTATATTGTTTTTTCTGTTTTAAAAAACAACTAAATGTTTCATTCTGCATTATGTAAAATCAGCTTTATAATGTATAGAAAAATATGCAACCGTTTAGATGCTTTGAAAATGAAATTTGAAAAATTGCAATATGGGATATTGAGTAATACTTTACAATTTTAATATGAATTATATTATTATCTTTCAGAAAATAAGCCGACAGTATAACTAAAACCTAGACTTCTAGGTTCTAGATTAACTTTACATTATGATAAAAATATCAGCCCAAACGTGTTTTTCTCCAAAAAAAAAAAAATTTAATTCTCGAAAATTAATTTCATCGAAGCTCTTCTTTTGCAAATCATATGAAGAGATCTCAAATACATCTGATGTTCTCACCTTTGTTGGGGTTGATCTGATCTCCCTGAGAGCTGACTCATCACAGCGTCCATCTATTGCTGCGGGTATGGTAGACTGGCAGAGGGGTGCAGGTGGCTCTGGATTGGTGCAGACACCGTCCCGACGCTCCCGTGCCCGTGCCAGTGCCATCTGTCATCAGCTACAACATCTGCAAATCCAAGGTGCCCTTGATGGCCGGTGCCATCGTGGCCCGCTTCGGATTTCTGCAGGGGGACGAGTGGGTAGAGAAGTTGCTCCCGAACACTAATCACATCTTCATTACTAATCATCACGGTTTGGGCTTTTTTATAATTCTAGAAGTGCCGTTCCAGGATTGTTTGTCTGCTTATTTATCCGTATCTCATATCAGATGTCAACAGCTCACCCCATGCCACACACACACACACACACAGTTCAATTCAAATTTATTTGTAGCAAAAGTGAGCAAGCCAATGGCGATTGTGGCTAAAATAAAAAACAACTAAGATGTTTAAATGAGTTAAAGAAACAGCTTTATCCATTCGAAACGAGAGAGTTAGTGAATAATCATAATGGAGTATGCTGAGGTCTTGAAAGTCTTCCATACCTGCAAGGCATCCATTAGACCACATTGCAATTAACATTCTTGGCTATGATCCTGATTACTTTGTAAGCAAAGCTCTATATTGATTTAGCAATAACGTGTAACTAGATTTCTGAAGTAAATTGGTGTCTCTGTAGCTGTCATGATGCTGGGCTGTTGTAGGAGGTTGTCAAGCATTGATATGCAATTGCTCCAGCATTTGGAGTGGTTGTTTGTGCAACAATATATGAGACATATATGTCTTTGATATAATATTCTCATATTTAGAAGGGAATACGAACTAATGTAGTTTAGAAATCTGCAACGAATCTATATCTAGCATCTAGCAAATTCTATCAAATTGAAATCCTTTTTGTTTTTCATATTAATTTTCCCCATGTAAAACATATGTGGTTGCCCGGGTGCTCAGAACAGTTTATTTGTGTTGCTATATGGTTGCTAGGGTGTTGTAGGTGGTTGCTGACTGTTGAGTGTTCAGAGTGGTTTGTTAGCATGCTATGCTGTTTTTAGAATTAGAATTAGAATTTTTTACACATTTATTTTCCTATTGCACATTTCTTGGTTTTATTGTGCATGTTTTGTTTGTTTGTTTTGCAATATGTACACTAAATTACAAAAGTAAAGTCAGGTTTCTTTTAAGACCTTAAAAAGGTCTTAAAAAGGCCTAAAAAGATCTTAAATCAGAGCAGAAAGTCTTTGATATTCATGAAGTCATTGAAAAGGCATTGAATGTTGCATGCACTGCAATAAATAAAAATAAATAAATGAATGAATAAATAAATATCATCTTCAGTCTTTTTAAATCTATCTTTAATCTATCTTTAAATCAAGATACGTTTACTTGAGATGCAAAATGAAGATATAATGTCTTGTTTTCTGAAAAATTGAACAAAATTTAATGAGTTCATGCTTAAAGCAAGAGCAAACATCTTTCAATGTGGTTTGTTTTCCCTTTTGAATTAAGTTGATTTTTTTTCTGAGCCCACTGGCATATACTTGTTCATGTTTTAATCATAAAATCACAATGTTTTATTCATTTCTCAGAAAACAAGATTTATCTTATAGCATTTTGCTTCTCAAGTAAATGCCTCTTGATTTAAGAATCTTTAAACATTTGCACTTGAAAACAAGACAAAAATACTAATGAAAAACTTTTTTTTTTCTCAGTGTGATTCTAGTGATTGAGAGGTATTCAATCACATCTGTTGGAAGTCGCATTTTCAAACTTTGAAGTGTTGCCAAAACAACTCATCGTGTTCTCTCTAGACATTGATATTTAGAGAAAATATTGAAGTATTGTGTTTCCTTCAGTTTATGCGTTAAATTTTCTTTACTTGGTCTTAAAGGGGTCATATGATGCTTTTTTAAAGATCATTATTTTGTGTATTTGGTGTAACAGAATATGTTGACATGCTTTAATGTTCAAAAAACACATTATTTTTCAAATACTGTACATTATTGTAGGTCCTCTATGCCCCGCCTCTCTCAAACGCTTCGTTTTCTACAAAGCCCCCTCCTTTGACAAGCGCAGTCCGCTCTGATTGGCCAGCTGACCCAGTGCATTGCGATTGGCCGAACACCGCAAGCACTCCTCGGAAATGTAAGGCCCCTTACCATAATCGCGAGCTTCAGCTTTCAAAATAAATGTAAAGACAGAGCAATGTCTTTACTCTGGGGAACAGAGTCGCGTGACAGACACAGTGAGGAAGCTGGTATGTGTTTGCAGTACACAAGCCACGGTTAAGACAGCTGACTCCACTGTGATGTGACACTGTGGCTGCATCAACACTACTGCTGTTCCTGAAACCACGCCTTCTTTCTTTAATTTTTGTCCGTACAGTACGTACATTTTCACAAACAGCATGAATTGTTTTAAACTCACTATGCATAAAATCACACAAAACAATGAGCAAGTCTCTTAGGCACGCATCAGACGCATCTGTAGAAAGTGACTGCACATTCCCATTAGCCTGACGCACTGCTGTGCCCAAATTCTTTGCACGAATGCATTTTACACTGAAAAGTCATCTTTGTCTCCATTTTGACAATATTGATTTGAATTGGCTCTACTGTGGTGTGTGTGTGATTTGTGTTCACCATCAGGCGCATAGCAAGTGGGACATCATGGCGGAGGAGCCAGCAGAAATGGAGATGTCGCAGGAGCTTTCCGCACCCTATTTGAACAGCAGCCTCCAGAATGATTACGCAAACAACAGTAATGTCACCAACCACACCAGTATCACCTACTACCCTTACTACCAGCACTCTCTACCTGTGGCTGCCACCCTGACTATGGCCTACCTCTTCATCTTCCTGCTGTGCATGGTGGGAAATGGCTTGGTGTGTCTGATTGTGCTGGAGAACCGGCGGATGAGAACAGTCACGAACCTCTTCATCCTCAACCTGGCTGTGAGCGACCTTCTGGTGGGGGTTTTCTGTATCCCGACAACCCTGGTGGACAACCTCATTACAGGTAGAGAGAAAAAAACATCCTGATCCTGTCTTTTGCCTTGATCACTTCCTTAGCTATAAATCCTTTTCACCCCTCATGGCGAAAAGCACACCTTTTGAGCATCTCTGCACAGAGCAGGTCTCTCTTATTACTGCGGTGAACCCGAGGCCAGTTTGCTCTTATCCACTGTATTACGGAGGCTTGTACATCAGTCCCACAGTTCTAAATCTAGTGCTAATACCCATGCAGCATTGACCTATTCTGACATTCACTGGCGGCAGAACATATGTAAATTCTTATTGTTTGAACTTTGGCTCTTTAGAACCAAAGGCTCTAATCAAATACTGGATTCGGGTCGGAACAGAAAATGCTCTTTCGACTCTCGGGTCAGCATGTTTTGCCGGTTAGCATGTGTGCTTGTTCATTCTGAGCAAAAGGATTAACTTTGTCACACAATGAGGGCAAAAGCATACTTTCTTTACGTCTAGCACTTTTGCAAAAACAGAGTTGTCTGTGTTGACTAGCCTGCTTTCTGGAGCAGAGCCGAGAACAGTGTGCCTGGCCTTGATAGTTTACTCAAAAATTATAAATGTACACCTCATGTCGTGCCAAACAAGTCTTTCTTCTGAAGGACGTAAAAAAAGAGATTTTGAACGATGTTTTAGCTGTCTTACAATGAATGTCAATGGGGTCTAAAAGAACACTGGACCTTATAGTGTTTGTGTTGTTGTTGTTACTGTTAACTAAAACTAAAATAAAATAAATTAAAGCTAATTAGGAAAACTAACAAAAATGACAAAAGCACTTAATAAAATGTCTGAAACTTCAACTAAAATTAAAGTAAAGACTGAAAATATTAAAAGAAAAATAAATAAAAAATATTAATGAATACTATAATAAAATATAAGTAATGCTAAAATAACACTGGCTTGGAAGATAAAAACGGCCCAGTTTCAGTTAATACAACAAAAATAATTCATGTCATCCCAGCACAAATGGATTAGGTTAACTGCAATTTTACAAATTTAAGTGGATTGAATGCAATGAAATGAAAATGTGAAAAAAGGTTGAAGAACTGTGTTGCATATTTTAATGAAGTAAATCTTGTTTTTTAGGCAATTATAGTAAATATCAATAAAACTAAAAATAATTTAGTTTTATTTTTAATAATTCTATTAAAATAAAAATTCTTGCTAATAGGTTAGCCATAAATAAAACTCTCTTTTTTTTTTTTCTTTTTTTTTAATAGAGCTGAGGCAAACAAACAAGTGAGTATTATATTTTCAGAGTGTTGGCCCACATAAAACTTAAATGCAGTTGAATTGATTGTGAATAAAATCACCTCTGATTATTCAATGAAATGCAGCAGCCAGGAAAATATCAAGTCTTTTTTAAACTTGTGTAGTGTTTGCAGTTAGCAGTCTGGAAAGATTTTCATGCCTCTTGCCACCTGTAAATAAACAGTGAAAATTGAATTACCGCAATACCATCTTGCACATAATACCCTATAAATGACCTTTAACGGTGGAATGCTGTTCAACAAGCTGATTAATAGGCCTGGTAGAGACATCACCACACCAACATACAAAACACAAAAAGCACTGATGGCCAGCTGGTCTTTTCAACAGCCCATTTGCCCTCACGCTCCCTCAGTGGTTTCTTTTCTCTCTTTAAAAGGCTTTAAAAGCTTATATATACAATTTTTTTGAACAAAGCAGGTGGTGGTGATACATTCATCATCATTTCTGTTGTGCCCTCTGAATCTCAGAAAATTGCACTTAGGACTGAAAGAACATAAATTTGCTTAGTGTGGAGTAAAGTTAGTCTGCCTCTTTCTTTTTTTTTTTAAAGGGGTCATATGATGCTTTTTTAAAGATCATTATTTTGTGTATTTGGTGTAACAGAATATGTTGACATGCTTTAATGTTCAAAAAACACATTATTTTTCAAATACTGTACATTATTGTAGGTCCTCTATGCCCCGCCTCTCTCAAACGCTTCGTTTTCTACAAAGTCCCTCCTTCCGACAAGCGCAGTCTGCTCTGATTGGCCAGCTGACCCAGTGCATTGTGATTGGCCGAACACCGCAAGCACTCGTCGGAAATGTAACGCCCC